GGCGCCTCGACCAGCCAGACGCGCGTTACGGGCGCGCCCCGTTCAACGGGGGCGATGCGCTACGTCGAACCGTCGGGGGCAGCCCTCGAGCCCCGGGGTTAGCGCCGAGTCTGCTCGGCGCGAGGGAAGTCCTGCCACTGGAACCCGAGTGGCCCGTTCTGCCGGCTCGGCCACAGAGGTGGCCGAACTGCATGTTAATTTGTGAAGGGTTGGGGTCTTGCAACCAAGCCGGCTAAATCGCATGCGAAGACGAGACCTATGCCCGCGGTGCGCGCGCATTAGATGCAAGGCGGATGCGTCTGAGATCGCGGCCAGCACTCTGCTGGCCAACCGGGCTCGGAAGTATTTTGGAAACGAGGATCCACCGAGGTTGATCAACGGCGATAGGTTGCGCCACTTTAGCATTCCAACGACGAGTCTCAGCCCGCTGCCCAGCAGGCAGCTTCCCGGCCAGAGGCGGAGACAGAGACCCAGCGCAGCGGTGTTCGCGATCGGCGCAGCAAAGATTGCCCCAGCCCGGGGTCGGTTAGCAGCGATGACCCACACCAGGCATCAGATGCCGACTCACGCAGCAGGGTCGTGATTGTCTGGGATTCGGATTCGACGCCGTCCGTGGCCACCCTCCAACTCCGGCGTTCCTTGCGCTGCACGAGGACGCGAATGCTTGATCGATCTGGGATAGTGCTTCGACCTCGTTGGTCGCGAAGTAGCATAAGGGAGCGATCATGGGCGCGTCGGGCGAGGGCGCGATGCCCCCGACCGCCGACGGCCCGGCGGTCGCCGAAGAGGCGGCCCACGCGATCTTCGGCGACCCTCCGATGGGCTCCAAGGTGGGCCCGGTCATCCTGGATAACGCGCCCCCAGTGTTTTTCCCGCGGTCGTCTGATCAACGGCCGCGGCTGCAAGTTTTACACGGGGCGGGCAACGGCGCCTCCGTCGTCGTGGGCGACGGGCGCGTGAGATACTTAAACGGCGCCCCGCGCCTCGCCCGTCCTGCCAGGCGGTCCTGGAAACGACCTGCGGGCGACCCTTGGCCAGGGCGCTTCGTCGGTCTACCAGCGGCCCCCGAGCGAGTCGCCGACAGAGGGCCAGCTTCACCGGCGTGGTCTGGAGGGGGATCGTCCTCCCAGGCCGCGACCGAGGACGTCGCCAATCGTGCGGCGCCCCGTTTGGCTTGGGAGTGCCCATGGCGCATGTGGTCCGCCTGTGATATAGGATTGATGAATTGTCCGCGCCGCGAATGCTGTCGCCCCGGGGCCCGAGATGCGACGGGGCAACCTGGCGCTGCCGCGACGGGGCGACCCGGTGCTCGAGAACCACCGGGCGACGACGCGTCGGGGCCACCCGACGCTGAAATGGAGGCGAGCGAGGCGCGGGGGGAACCCGACGAGTCCGACAAGGACATTATCTATTCAGACAAACGACGGCGATATGTAACCAGGGGGCCAAGACAGAACCCACGTTGCGCGAGTGGCACTGCGCCGCGAGCGCTGGGAGGCGCAAGCCGCCCCGACCAGCGAGGAAGAGAGCGCGGGCAGGCCCCCCGCGCCTCGCCCCGTCAAGGACTGCAAGCCCAACTGTTGGATCGGGACGTCCGCGTCTCAGCGGGCTTCGTCACATTCTCCAGCGCGAAGCCCCTCGACTTCAACTTCTACCTTTTGTGGGGCCGCGCGCTGTCGCCCAGCCTGAGGCGTGGCGTTCCCCCCGCGTCCCGCCCCGCTCCCGCGCGCGTGGCGCCGCCCCTGTTGGGGGTCCGGGGCGTTTCCCCCGTCCTCGTTCTCTTGGGCGGGGCCCCGGGGTGAACTCGCGCCCAAGAGCCCCCTGATGGGAGCGCTTCGGCGGCGCGTGTGTTTCGCCCCTCGAGTAGGCGCGTTTCATATTGAGCGGCGGTAGCCCCGCTGCGAGTTTCGGGCTTGGCCCCGCGTGGCCATCTTTGGCCTGAGCGAGGGGGGGGGGGCCCTCCGCGCGTCACGTTTGCGCTCGCGCAGCGGGCGGGTGCAAAGAGGGTTCGCGCGCGTCGCTTCGCGTCGCGCCTCCTCTATCCCTTCTCGTGCTGCGCTGCGATCGAAGCTGGGTAAGAGTTACGAGTGCTCACCTAGAGGGGGAGTTCGGCCGCCCTCGCTGGCGAGCCGAGGCCTGCAACCAACAAGGGCTTGGGCCTGGCCCGCCCCGGCCCTGCACTCACGGGGGGTGGCCCCCGCTGTGAGCTGCATGCAGCTCCAGGTGCGGCAGACGAACGCGACGTGCGACAGGGCCGCGGACATGCGCGGCGAAGGCCACCATTCGGGAGGAAGAGGTGGAGGAGGAGGAGGAGGAGGAGGAGGAGGAGGAGGACGAGGAGGAGGAGGAGGAGGAGGAGGAGGAGGAGGGCGGACCGCTAGGCGTTCCTGCGCCCTCCGCCCACGAGACGGGCGGCCTCCGACTGCCGCGCAATGTGGGGCGCCGAGGGCCCAATGGGTCCGCGCGTCCGTCGCACGGATCGCCGAACGAGCGTGGTCCTCCTCCTCCTCCTCCTCCTCCTCCTCCTCCTCCTCCTGCCGTTCGCGATAGCATCGTTGCTGCGCCGAGGTCCCGCGGAGGGAGCGGCATGGCCGGAGCATTGTGGCTGGGCAGGGGAGGAGAGGGGGGAAGGAGGACGACGGCGAGGCGAAGGAGCATGAGTCAAGAAGGAGGGTGATGTCTTGGAAGAGGAGTGGGCTCGAGTAGCGGCCCAGTATACCCAGAGGGTGCGCAAGACCATGTAATTTCCTTGACGGGCCGTTGCCCGTTGACGCGGCCCGCCTTGCCGCAGTCTTCCCGTGGCGTGGTCGAATCAGGCGGGCGCAAGCGCGCATCGCACGGCCAGCGGGGGACGGGCACGCAGGTGCGATCCATGTGAAGTGGTTCCAGCAAGAAAGACCGACACATCCCCCGAACTGACCACCCGTGATTTCGAGAAGGCCGTGGACACGTGCAGCGACCGCATCTTGGCCATCGACGAAAAAGGCTAAAGATACGCTCGACGAGTTAAATTCCTTGAGCTGCCAGCGCTTCTCCGACAAGGGCCATGTGGCAATGGAAGATCCATGGGGGTTGTGTTGTCCAGCGCGAAAACAGGAAAACACCAGCCACTGGATCTGATTGATGGAAGGCGGAGTGGGTCACATGCGCGCGATCTCGCAAACCATCCAGGAGGCGACCAAGGAAGGTGGCCTGGTTCGCTAGAGCCCTCCGCGAAGCCGACGGACCGTTTTAGCCGATCCCGGCAGCAATGCGCCGCCGTGCAGCGAGCGGTGGACACGTTGCTGCAGGTGGCCTCTAATGACGCGGGGTGGTCTCCCAGTTGCCACGCCTCCTCCCTGGCGCTCCGATTTTATCGCCGCTCCAGAATGCGCAGTGGTGGAGGACGAGGAGAGGATCGGAGGGGACCTGGAAACTGCAGTGAACCACGAGCCATTGCCAACCAACGAAAACATGGAACCACGAGTCACTACCAACCGCGAAAAGCGGGCCATAGAAGAGAGCCCCATTATCCTTCCACGACTCATGAATTACACCACCAACCAAGAGCCACGAGCGACGGACTATGAACCAATCGACAACCACCATGTCATCACCACCGACTGGGAGGATGGGCACTCACAATTGGACAGTGAACCTCGAGCCACGGCGAGCCAGAAGTCGCGAAGCATGAACCACGCCGTGCACCTCGTGCCGGGAACCACGAACTACCGTGAACGACAAACTACAGTCTGCCATAGGCCAAGAGTCGAGTCGAAATCCGCGGCTCAAGCACAGTGAGCCACTATCCACAGATAATGAACAGCGCAGCATCAGGCAAGTTTGAAACAAAAACACTGCATGTCGTCCCAGGCCCTAGGATCCCTAAGCATGAAACCTGGCACGCGGCCACACATCACGAATCATGACCCAACACGAAGCACAGGCCACGGACCTAAAACAGCGAACCACGAACGAATCACATGAGGCGTTTTGTTTCATGGTGTTTGTCCCAGGTGAGTTACAGGACAGTGTTCAGCGTACCCAGCTTTGAAATAGGGAACAGTCTGGGTTCGAACGGGTACTGTTGTTCTTTGGGTCTGGCCATTGTTGTTCCTCTAGCGCTCTTCGTGCACCAAGGCGCATTTTGGGGCCCGGAGCGGGACTTTGTTCCTTACCGATCGTTCCTTATGGTAGTAGGTTTGACTGTAGCATCCCACGAGATCCATTTGATTTGTTTCTCCGTGGCTGTAGCCGCTGCCAGGCGCTTACGGAGGTGGGATGGCACGAACCAAACGTATTCAGGATTTTGGATCGAGAATTCCACACTTGGAAGGGACGAGGCATCCACATATGTCATTTTTTGATCAAGAATTTGGGACGAACCTATCCACACTTCCCTTTTCTTCCCACTCCATCTCGCCCTCCGCTTTCTTCCACCCTCCCTCCATCCACCTCGCACTCCCTCCCCTTGCTCTCCTTCATCCTTCTCCACTCTCCCTCTCTCCTCATTCTCCCTCCCCATCCCTCCTGTCCCTCCCCCCATCTATCCTTCCCTACTGCCCTCCCCCCTCCCACCCTACAGTCCCTCCTTCCCTTCTGTCCCCTCTTCTCCCTTTGGCGCTGCCCCTGGGGAAGGCGGGTTCGAGATTCAATAGCCCAGTCGGGAAGCAGGATCGGCGGACGAGGCACTGGCACAGTCAAGGCCTCTCCCGCCCCCGCAGCGCTCTCCTCATGATGCAAGCCCTGCGTCAACTTCATGGAATTGCCGGGAGGCCCCCCAGGGTCCAGCGCAGAGGCTCCAGGGGGCGACGGAGTTGGAGATCAGAATGCCGAAGGTAGGTTGGTTGGTCATGCCACGGGCTGCTGCCAGCTCGCGCCCAGTGTCAGCCCAGGAGAGGGGAGAGGAGGAGGGGGAGGAGGTGGAGGCTAAGGAGGGGGGGAAGGGCGGTCAGATTGATCGACTGTTCAGGGCCCAAGCTGGCAGCATCCTGCTCGCTTACAGCCTGCCGCCCACTAAGGAAGACATAGATGCCATGTACGAAATCCTCAAGGGGGCCAAGAACCCCGCGGAGACCCGTGTGGGAAGGCGGAATCGGGGCGAGTTGGGAGCCAGAGAGTATCTCGGAAGATGGCTGAAGTGGAAGAGGATACCACGAGAAGAGAGGATGAGCGGATCAGATGTGGTAGTGGCAAGCAGGGAGGATGGACAGGTGGAGAGGAAGGCCAGCCTGTAGGAAGAAGGACAGGCGGAGGGGAGAGGAGGAGGGGAGAAGGGCGGTGGGAGGGAGGCACGGAGAGAGATGGGGGGAGGAAGGGGTGAACGCGGGGATACAGAGAGGAGAGGAGGGAGCTTGAGCGAACGTGCCGCGAGCACGCCACACCGACGTACGTTCGCTGGCACGAATGATGAATCTTGCGGTCTTCCATCACACATTCAATTCTACATTCTACATGTATTCCGGACGGTCACCACCAGGGAGCAATTGCACAAGTGTTCGTGTGTGTCGCATGTATTTTGCAGTCTGATTTGTTACACGTTTGGTGATGCTTGATGTTTGGTATATGCGCATGTTTGTTCGTGTGCTATGTATGTTTGTTTGTTTCATGTGTGGTGCATGCATGTTGTTCTGTTGCTCGCTTGTGGTATGTGCTTGCGATGCGTCTGCGAGTATGTGTGTCAAGGGTGTATGGTGCTGGTGTCCTGTGGTTTCCATAGTTGCTCTTCATACATGCCACTGTTGCCTACCATTGGTTGCACATGTTGTTGCATAACCATGCGTTCTGACAGTTGCATCGATTATCGGTGTGTTGCTGCGTGCAGTATTGTTACACCTGTATGCTGCGCAGTGCATGCTGATGGTGTGGCGCTGCTGCTTGTCATGTTGGATGCATGCTATGGATGTGTGATCTTGCTGTCTGGGGATGGTATAGATCATCCGTGCGTATATCTGTGATGTAATATGTCTCGGCTGTGCGACATGAGTGTGTATCATCCGATGTGCATATATATATATATATACATCGGAGGTGAGGGGGTGAGATCGAAGTGGAACAGAAAGCCCCCCTACCGGGAAATCGATTTCGGTTTCGTGTTCGTGCGTGCCGTGCGTGCGGGCGAGGCAAAGCTGCGTGGGCGGGCGAGAAGAAAGTCTCCTGTGGCTGAGGCGCGGCCGGACCAAATGTCTCCCTTCCGGACGGCCGGTGGCCCGCGGTGTCCCGCCGGTGTCCCGCTGGTGTCCCGTGTGGCTGAGGCGCGGCCGGACCAAATGTCTCCCTTCCGGGCGGCCGGTGGCCCGCGCGGTGTCCCGCGGTGTCCCGCGGTGCCCCGCGGTGTCCCGCCGGTGTCCCGCGGTGTCCCGCGATGATGATGATGATGATGATGATGATGATGATGATGATGATGATGATGATGATGATGATGATGATGATGATGATGATGATGATGATGACGATGATGATGATGATGATGATGGTGATGGTGATGCTGATGATGATGCTGCTGATGATGCTGATGCTGATGTTGATGCTGATGATGATGATGATGATGATGATGATGGTGATGCTGATGCTGATGATGATGAGGACAATGATGATGATGATGATGATGATGATGATGATGATGATGATGATGATCGAGTGAGATCGAGTGTGAGATAGATCGAGTGAGATCGATTGTGAGATCGATTGTGAGATCGATCGAGGGAGATTGATCGAGCGAGACCGATACTGAGATCGATAGTGAGATCGATAGTGAGACCGATCGAGTGAGACGTTGGTTCCTCCCCCCCCCCGAACCTCCTTATCACCCGAAGGGTGGTCGTATAGGTATTTATATATATATGGCAAATGCTTGTTATTGGCATACGTTGTTGATGCTGTTAGTGTGTCTTGTAATAATGAGCTTTTGATGCGCATGCACTATGCCCGTCCTTGGTGTGTGGCCTTTGTATTTTGGACGCTGCGCACGCGCGTGCTGCATGCTGGCGTGTGTGTGTGTGTTCTTGCTGCCCTTAATTTGTATGCCCTACATTTGCTCCATCCGCCAGCGCAGTCACTCTGCCTAGCCGCCGACGCAAAAGTGTGTTCTTGGTGCCCTGTGTTGATGTGTACTAGCGATGTGCGTCAAGTGCAACACAACATTTGATAGGAGGGAGGGGGGAGCAGGACGAGGAGAAGGAGGACGACTGAGAAAACACATTGCGCGTTCTGAAATCGCGCATTCCGTAACGGAGTGCGTTGTCGTTTGTTTTTTTTTCGGTTGTTTCTGATGTGTGCGGTCGTGGTCTTCTTCATGTGTGGTTTTGGTGGTTGTTGTTGGTGTATGTCATTGATGTATCGTATGCCCGTCTTACGTTGGTGCGTGTTCTCCATGTTTGCCTAATTGCCTTTTTTGTTGGACGTGTGTTCGTGTGTTTGTTTTGGAGGGGTGGCTGTTCGTTCTTGTTTAGGGTGGTTACTGGATGGGTCCGCCAGGGTTGTGCCTGGTGCCCAGTTGGTGACTGGTCGTTGGCGCCTTGTGGGCGCCCCGTGCGTTCGGTGGGCCCGCCTTTGGTGTCGTGTGGTGACACGTTGGTATCCGGGAATGGTCGCCTCGTGGGCGGCACGTGCGCTCGGTGCAAACGTTGCTCGCACCGCACAGTTTGGCGCACATCGATTGCATCCCATGGTTTGCATTCGGAGGTTTGGGGTCTCAGGCTGGGACGTTTGTGCGTTCGTCGGCTGCGAGGCCTCCCACAAGGGGTGGGGGCCCTCGGACCGCTACAAATGCAGGGGCATCGCGCCGCAGTTTACTGACTGTGCTGTTTTCCGAGTGTTATTCAATCGCTTCGCTCTTTCCGCCGGCCCATATTGTAGCGCTGGCACTTGCTTGCGTGCCTTGGGGGGCGTTTGGGGGTCCTCCTGGGGCTGCTTGGGAGCCTCTTGGGCGCTCTTGGCTCTTCTTGGGACTCTCCCTTGGCCCTTCTTGGGGCTCTCGGGGACGTCTCGGGGCCCTGTTGGTGCGCTCCTGGAGCGCTCTGGGGGCTTCTCCCGGGACCTTGCCGGGGTACTTCTCGTCAGGGGACCCCCAGGGGCCGCCCCGCGCGAGCGAACTAGAAATACCGTGAACCAGTTACCGGAGACCTCAGCACGCCTTTGGCCCGTTGTTTTCCGAGTGTTATTTCGCAAGCTTTTTCAACATGAGCATTGGGATTATGTGTGTGAGATGAATACAGTCGGGGCCCTGAAGAAGGAACCCTTTTCGTTGGGGAGGGGCTCCGTGTTCTTTAATTGTTTCGCAGCTTGCCTTGGATTTTCTTTAGGTTTTCGATACGAAATCGAAGTTCAACTTATGGAAAATAGGGGCCTCGTTCCTTATTTAGGGTTCCTTAGGTCAATGCCTCGACTGTATGCTCCAGCTGCCTGCGGCAAGCCCCGCTGCCGTGCCATCCCACCATTCTGGGCGGTGGCTGTTCGCAGGGGCACGGGAGGCCGTCACGTGTGACACCTCTTGTCTCCAGGCTCAGGGGAGCCGTGATGAGGATGATGAGGATTATGAGGGTGATGGGGGTCATGATGATGATGATGATGATGACGCTGATGATGCTGATGATGATGATGATGGTGACGATGATGTTGATGTCGATGCTGATGATGATGATGAAGATGATGATGATGATGATGATGATGATGATGATGATGATGATGATGATGATGAACGATGGTGGCGATGATGTTGATGTTGAGGTTTACGATGCTGCTGGTGCTGGGAATGAGGATGATGGTGATGCTGATGCTGATGATCTTGATGGTGATGGTGAGGGTGATGATATGGTTGCTGATGCTGATGATGATGATGGTGATGATGATGATGATGATGATGATGATGATGAGGATGATGATGATGATGATGATGATGATGATGATGATGATGATGATGATGATGATGGTGACGATGATGAATCTCGGTTTGGTCGTCTTGGGGTTGTCTTGGCCTTCTGTGAGGCAGTCATGAGGGTCCCTTGGGGCCCTCTTGGGCCGTCTTTGGGCCCTCTTGTGCCAGCTTGGGTGTCTCGTGGGCCGTCTTCGGGCTCTCTTGACCGTCGTGGGGCCGTCTTGAGTCCCACGCCAGGCCGTCTTGGCGCCGTCTTGGGCCGTCGAAGGGCCTCCTAAGGCCATCTTGGGTCCCACGGCAGGCCCGGTTGGGTCGTCTAGGGGCCGTCTTGGATGCCTCTCGGGCTATCGTGGGGTCTTTTGGGGCCGTGTTGAGCTGAAGGCAGCCCGAAAAGGCGAGAATGCGAACATCAGATCAGTCGAACAACCAAGGGAATCACTGATGTGTGCTTCTTCGGACCCCGTTCGAGGTCCTTGTGTGGCTCTCTTACGTTGAGGAAAACCCCGAGGGGGCAATAAACACGTGCAGCAAGGAGGAAGTCGCACATTGCATCGACAGCCAGCGCACATCGCACCACCGCCATGTCAGGCCCAGCTACGCAGCCAAGGCACTTGCCGCCACTCACAGCCTAGACGAATGTTACCCCACATTGATAGATCGACATGAGCACATCAAGGGACAACTGACCCCTTATGAGCTCCAACGCCTCCGTGAACACGGTTGACTCTGTATCCGAATATCCCTCACGATTGATGCAGAATCGGAGTGCATTTTTTCCCGCATGGATCTCAAGATTCCCAGTGAGAAGAGGCTGTTGGGTCACATCAGTTGCTTCATAGAGATTTTCTCGACCCCGGGATCACTTATGACGTTCAGTGGTGTGGCGCCCGAGACATGACTGCGGACTGTCGCGACAAGGGCACTATCGACCGTGACCGGCTTTTTCAAGTTATGGCTGGTTATCAGGGCTACTAGCATGAGGTCAAAGTCCATGCTCTGCAGCGCGACAATGACCTCCCATAGCCGACAAATCATCGCCGTGGCTGCTTGCGCGCCATGATAGACCGCAGAGGCCTGGAGGGCTATTCACTTGCAGCCGCACTGTGCGTGAAGAGGGAGTGGAGAGGGGGGCCCTTGCTGGCCCCATGCCGAGCTGTCGCGGGACCACGACTGCTCAATGGCGGGGCGTTACCGCACCCATGTTCGCACCCCGTTGCCGCGGAATCGCAACCATGTTCAATCCTATCTGCATTGATTTGGAATCAGCCCTTATCGGGTCACATTTTGTGGTTTCGGGACCCTCTCTGGCCCGTCTTGCTCGAGCGGCATCATCAGCTAGCCTCTGCCCAACTCGCTTCGGTGTTAAGACGTTGGAAGCATTCGCACGTGACTCCAGCTCCAGGCATTCCGTTGTTATGCGCTGCGTCGGTGGTCGAGGTTTTATGTTGCCAGTCTTTTATGTTTGCGCAAGCGCTGCCATAAGCCCACGCACGAGGCGGCGACGGCCGTGCCTCCCCCTTGACTTTGAGGGAATACTCCGAGGGGCATTCCTACAATGCGTTGCTCGTGCCGCCGCTGCCGTGACCCAAGGCGGCGCAGCCCCATCTGCCTGTGTCGCTTGCGCGAAGCATCATTTGCGGCGGGAGGCAGGACATCCTGTCCCACCGCCACCACGCCGTCGCAACTCCTTCTCCCACTCATATCCGTACCCTGCGATGACAGACCCTGTTGGAACTAGGTGTGGCCCTGTTGCAGGCATCCTGGGCCGTCTTGAAGCAATACTCGGCCGCCTTGGGGCCATCTTGGGCCGTAACCGAGGCGCCTTGAGCCATCTTGGTGTCATTGATTGCCTGCGCGGGCCGTCCTGGGAGTTCGGGACGCATACACATGTCTGTCAGCAGGGGGCCTAGGCCCAGGAGGCCCCGGAACGCTTGGGAGCACCGCCTGGGAGTGCGGGGCGCGTGCACTCCTCGAGCAGGTGCATGTGGGATGAAGGCTCTTGGAAGTAGCAGTCTTGCGGAAAGTGCGCAATCCTCGAGCGGGCGCGCATGAAACGAGGGTTTGGGCATTAGCTGCCACGCGGGAGTGCGCCATCCGCGAGCGTGTACGCGTGGATGGGGGTCTCAGGCATTAGCTGCCATGCGGGAAGTGCATCAACCTCAGGCGGGCACGTGTGGAATGTGGGTCCAGGCATTCGCTGCCATGCGAAAAATGCTCCATCCTCGAGCGGGCACGCGTGGAAAAGGGGGCTGTTTTATGGCGTTAGCTGGCACGCGAGAGTGCACCATCCTCGAGCGGGCACAGGGAACGTGGCTTCAGGGGAATATGGGGGGATGCGCGCAAACGTCCGCGAGTAAGAGGGAGGGGGCTCCCCCATTGCATGCTTCCGCGCTTCAGCGTACACAAGGCACGGTGACGGGTACATAGCGCACGCCGCGTAGATTCCAGCGCATAGGTCGTACCACCAATATTGCATCACATGGTTGCACAACACAGCCTGCACCACGCGTAGTGCACCACCACGCAGCCGAGAGTCCACATGTGGTACCACACATATTGCACCTCTTAGCTTCCACCACTTTGGGTACGCTTCATGTGTTGCATCACATCTACGATATACTGCGCCACAAAATGGACACCACCACGTGTAACATATCCTTAGTGCAAGCTTGTTCTGTTAGGGGCCCACGCTGGCAAACATCTGAGCTGTTGGCGTATGTCCCTGATGCCTGTCATAGATGTATGATCTTGGTGTGTGATCTTGGTGTATGCCACTGCGTTATGTCATTTGTATCGGTTCTTGCTGTCAGTTCCACATGTGTGTGGGAGGCATGGCGACGTGACGGTTGGACTGGGCGACGTCTCCCCAGTGGGGCTCGCGAGGCGGGGTCCCCAAGGATCAGCCGACATTCAGTCACGGTATGTTGGGTGGGTGAGGCGGGTCGGGAATTCTTTCCGTAACGCATAACGAGCCCAAGCTGCCGGGTGGGGAACAAGCCTCGTCATCGACAGCAACGTGTGGCCGCGGAGGCAGAACATGAAGAGGCTCGGCTTCACATGGAAGCGGGCGGGCACGCCGTCGGATGTTGCATCAGGGACGCGGCCAAGGTTGAATTTGCCCGCGTTCGCGTTCGTGCGTCGTTCGTCCCAGTTCGGCAATACTCGATCGTCGAGTGTGCCCCCTTGGTATCCTGGAGCCTTGAACACTGTCCTTTGGACGACCTCTCAGTCCGATCCTCGCGCATGTTGCCCCTCTTCGCCGTGCCCCGTGTGCTGCTTTGGTCCCTGAGCCCTGCTCCGACGACCACGCCGGCCCTGCACCCCTCGGCAGGGTGCACCGTCTTCACGCTTGCAGCTGCTCTGGGTGCCCCGGACGTGCCGCATATCCCAGCTTCGCGGACTCCTCCGGGAGCCCGGGGTCGCCGCATGGCCGACGAGGAATTCTTTCTTCCCCCCACTTCTCCTCCTCCTCCTCCTCCCTCCTCCCTCCTCCTCCTCCCTCCTCCTCCTCCTCCTCCTCCTCCTCCTCCTCTCCTCCTCCTCCTCCTCCTCCTCCTCCTCCTCCTCCTCCTCCTCCTCCTCCTCCTCCTCGCCACCGTGCGCAAGGCACGAGGCGAGCCCCCCCCCCCCCCTGCGACTGCCCTTCTTTCTTCCCCCCACTTCTCCAAGTGCGCCATTGGCGAACCGCTCCCGCCGCTGGTGGCCGCTCGAAGGGGCCGCCGACGCTCCCAGCGCCACCGATCAAGAGGGTGCTCCAGCATCGTCGGGCATATGACATGGCAGATGGTTCTCGGGATGCTCGAGTGGTTAGCCCCCCGAAGTTTCAGCGGGGCCACGCTCGAGTTTTGCCTGCCGTTTGGGCTGACAGTGGGCACAGTTGGTGAGTTGTCGTGATATTGGGGGTCAGATGTGCGTGGATGCTGCACATCCGAAGCAGTTTGACCGACCCCCTCCATCCCCAGCATACTCCGGCGGATATGGGGTGTTGGATCGAATGTGGTGTTATGTGTTGCCACACTTGGATCATGGTTCTGCCCTTGTTTCTCAGCGTGGGTAGTCTCGCCCTTCTCCGCTGCGCTTCTCTCCTCCCTCTCCCCTCCCCCATACCTGGCATCGCTCGGACACCTGCACTTTCCCTTCGGCGAGGACCATTGAGGCGCATCCTTGATCATCTGGCGGAACAACCACGCACGAAACTGTACAACGCACAGGGAATGGACGCCCGAGCGATGGCCAGCACGTGGTAGCTCTCGCCCTGGTTGTGGTGTGCCCGACCCTTCCTCGCCGAGCGGCCGCCGCATTGCCGGTGCGAGGATCTGCTGATGGTCAGCATCAGGTGGATGTCGGAAGGCTCTTCTGATGGGGGGGGGTACAGGGAGAGAAGGAGGGAGGAGGAGGAGGAGGAGGAGGAGGAGGAGGAGGAGGAGGAGGAGGAGGAGGAGGAGGAGGAGGAGGAGGAGAGGAGGAGCAGCAACAGCAGCAGGAGGACGACGACGATGAGGCAGAGGATACCCAGGAGTGCTCTGAATGCACTCTGCCTTGCAAAGTGGCATCTTTAGGTCAGGCCGTCTGGTTTCACGTACGTCCCTTCTTTGCGTGCCCCCGGATGCGATATCTTGACCGGACATATTTGTTGTGGGTAGAGAGTGGTGCACGGGCTTCTCGAGGAGAGGGCTTCACGGTCGCTCGCCGTGCACGCAGGATATGTTTCCATTTCGTTTTTCACGAAGTGTGGAGCAGTTAGATGGCCTGCCTGGGCCGCGTCACAATGGTGTAACAAGCAGTCGGTATCTACGTAGGTGAATTCTTATGTGTTTGTGATTTGGACATGTCCTTCCTTCCTCTCATGTGGAATTGTGGTCTAGTAGCAGTTGTGGCACGTGGGCATGCCGATGTTGTGGATCCAAACTCCATGTTCTGCCTTGTTTTTTGTCAGGCGTGTTCAGAGGAACATTGACTCCGAATAGAGAGGTCGAGAAGCTTGCCAAGAAGGATTCGCGCGGAACTCTCCTGGGAGTCACCATATCGCACCCATGTGGCATGACATGGTTCTCTCAGAGCGTGTCCTCATTTGCAGTGACGTTGCAGTGAATGCTGGACGTAGGTGTCGTCCTTTGGCGAGCTGTATGCGAGTACTCTTACTACACCCTTGCAACTCACCGTCTGTGCCCGTGTCAGTGAAAGCAGCTACATCGCCCGCTCTTGGTGTACTACAGGCAGCGCTTCCTTCTCCCCCTCTTCCCACCCCACACCGGGACATCGCACACGGACGACGAAACAAAAGCGGATGAAGCAAAAGCGGACGAAACAACAGCGGACGAAACAAAAGCGGATGAGCCAAGTTTCCACCATCGCACATTTGCCTTCAGGTTGCGTTTGGCCCAGCCGTACTCCCTCATCTTTTCTCCCCCTTTTTCTGTCCTCCTTCCTCTTTTCCCCGTCCTCTTCTTTCACCTTGTCTGTCGTCATCTCGTCTTCTTCAGCACATTATTGCCCCACCTCTCTCGCCCATCACCCCTCCACTACCCCATCTGCCCCCTCCCGCATTCCACTCTATTCCGCTGCCGTTCCTCGTCTTGCTTTCTCACAAATTTCCTCCATCATTCCGTTCCACTCCCTGCACCTTGCCCCATCTCTTTCTCTTACTCGCTCCGTGCCTCCCACAAATTCATCATTTGTGTTTATATCTCTCTCTCCTTTTTTTTTTTTCTCTCTCTCTCTCTCTCTCCCTCTATCCCTCTCGCTCTTTTTGCAATACTTTGTTTTTAGGTACACATATTGATATACACACAAGACTACATTGGCGCTTCGAGCCATGCACCTTGGTCTTTGAAGTTTGACATGCAGGCGGAATGGCAGGAAGGTCAAGCCAACAATTTATCGATACATGATTGTTGCCTTTTCCGGCATCGCCGTCATAATAATAATGTTGTTGTTGTTGTTGTTGTTGGTTCTAATATAATCAAATTTCAAGAATCCCTTGCAACAAATAAGGTAAAGTGGACATTCGCGCGCGCAAGACGAAATCCTTCCAAAACCTTAGTGTTCGCAGCGATTTTAACATAAAAACATCAAAAAACCAATGGTTTTTCAACAAAAAATTGTCAAAATCTCATCCCGCGCGCTCTTGCGGATTCGTAGGAAACCCAACACTTTTTAAACATTTCTGTCAAACGGGCTTTTGCGAGCAACTTTTTCGAACTTCTGCGACAACGGTTGCGCACCTGCCAGGGCCATCATCCCTGTCAAATAATACCATGCGGGACACATTCGTTTTTTCTTCGCGCGCGCACGCCGAAATCTTCAAAAACCATTGGGTTTCTTAGGAATTTTAGCACCGCGCAACATAAAATCATACGAATCGCACCGTAGGTCCTCGAAAAACATCTGTACGAGTTTTCAAAATTTCTACCCGCGCGCGCTGTCCGAATGCAAAAAAACCAATGGTTTTTCAACATTTATGTTACATGAGCTCGCGCGGGCTACTTTCGCGCCGAACAGGGGGAAAAGTCGTATACTAAGCTAGCGTCCAGAAAATGTTACCACAACAAGTCACTGTACCCATGCGCCAGTGTAGTAGCCACGGTCGTCCGCAGCCCACGAAGTGAAGTGTCCGAACGTCATAGGGCGGGAAGCTGGGTGTGGGTGGTGGCGAAGAGTCGTTTGGAAATGTGGTAGAGCTTGAACCGGCCCCCCCACAAAGTGGGGGTATTGGCGGGCGTCGTATGAAACCCCTGGCACTGGTGAGAACGGAGTGTCCCCACGTGCTAGTAATTGTTGTTGTTGTTGTTGTTGTTGTTGTTGTTGTTGTTGTTGCCGCCCCCCCCACAAAGTGGGGGCATTGCCCGCCTCCTATGGAAACCCTGGCACTGGTGAGAACGGAGTGTCCCCAGTCTTAAATGATTGTTGTTGAACATTATTAATTCTAAAGAATAATTATTGTTGGGACCCCTGGTGCACGGCCCCCCTGCGCCGCCTAGGCCGCAGCTACATTTTCATCATTTTCGTGAGGAAGCCTCAGGTAATTCGATGTGATCAAGATCCGGTTGTTTTGTTCCCCCCCGCTTTCCCTTGCAAAAAACACTATAAAATGACATTTCTTGTTCTAATATAATCAAATTTCAAGAATCCCTTGCAAAAAATAAGGTAAAGTGGACATTCGCGCGCGCAAGACGAAATCCTTCCAAAAGCTTAGTGTTCGGAGCGATTTTAACATAAAAACATCAAAAAACCAATGGTTTTTCAACAAAAAAATGTCAAAATCTCATCCCGCGCGCTCTTGCGGATTCGTAGGAAACCCAACACTTTTTAAACATTTCTGTCAAACGGGCTTTTGCGAGCAACTTTTTCGAACTTCTGCGACAACGGTTGCGCACCTGCCAGGGCCATCATCCCTGTCAAATAATACCATGCGGGACAGATTCGTTTTTTCTTCGCGCGCGCACGCCGAAATCTCCAAAAACCATTGGGTTCTTAAGAATTTTACCACCGCGCATCATAAAATCACACGAATCGCACCGTAGGTCCTCGAAAAACAGCTGCACGACTTTTCAAAATTTCCACCCGCGCGCGCTGTCCGAATCCAAAAAAAAACAATGGTTTCCCAACATTTATGTTACATGAGCTCGCGCGAGCTACTTTCGCACGCTCTTGCAACGGGGTTCGCGCGCCTGCCAGGGGCCATAATCCCTTGCGGTTGCGCCATAGGTTGCGCCCTCGGCCGCCGAGAATAAAACGCCCTCCTATTGGTTGCGCCATAGGTTGCGCCCTCGGCCGCCGAGAATAAAACGCTCCCTACTGGTTGCGCCATAGGTTGCCCCAGGAGGCCTTCAAGAGGCCCCAAGAGCCCGCCGTGAGGACCCAATAAGCCCCCAAGAGGCCCCAAGATGCTTCCAAGAAGCCCCCCAAAGCTCAAGAGGACCCCAAGCGGCTCCAGGAGGCTTCCCCCCTACCCCAAGAGGACCCCAAGCGGCCCCAGGAAGCCTCCGACTGATCACTGTCACATCCGTAGCCATCTCGGATCAAGGTATCGCCTGTGTTCTTGGATGGGTCATGGCTTTGTCGGCGAAAGCCCTTGACGACCAGTATGGCCCAGAGCTGTCGCGGCCTCCCTTGGCTGACTGCGGCAGCCCGTATTATTTGCATCAGGCGCTCGTTGCAAAGGGTATCCAGGTCAGTCACCAGGCGTGCAAGCTTTGGTGGTGCAAGTATCGGGTTGTGCCTGGCACGGTCAGTATTTCTAGCGCCACGGAGCTGGAGGAGCATCGTGCGCCACGCTGCAGAGCGGCATTTCCTCTCGCAGCCACGGGCCCGGCATCCGCGAGCAGGCGTATGAGCATCGTGCTCGGACACATCCCTGATGTCGCCATTGCGACGCGTATGGCCTCCGTGCTGCCACCTGTCCAGCCTCAGGTATCGCCGCGGATTGGCGCCATCACGGACGGGACCCAGGAGGAGGAGCCTTCGCGTCTGTAGGCTGTATGCCGTTGGCCGCTCATGACAGTATGAGTGCCGTTCCGTATGCCGCATGCCCTTGGCCGCTCATGACAGTATGAGTGCGCTCTGGCAGTATGCTCCCTGTTCCCCCGCCGGCACTGTTCGCCGAGGCTGGGCGATAGAAAAAGAAAGTATGGCAGCATCGCGACAACCATCGGGACAACCATCGGGACAACCATCCGAACAACCATCGGGACAACCAGCGGGACAATCATGTGGACAACGATCGGGACAACCATAACCATCAGGACAACTATCGGGACAACCATGGGGACGACGATCGGGACAACCACGATCATCAGGACAACCATCGGGACAACCATCGAGACAACCATCGGGAAAACCATATCGTCTCTCTCTCTTGTGTATTCCCACATCCCTCAGGAATTTGCCCTAAAGATGTGATCAACCATCTTGTGCGTACGTACCATGATCATGTGTACCATGTACCCTACGGGTCATATGCAACTGATGCCTTTGCGTATTCCCACTTCGGCACAGGAATTTGATGAACAAATGTGACGAACTCCTCTCTCTCTGTCTCTCTCTCTTTGTCTCTCTCTCTCCCGCTCTCTTCCTCTGTCTCGCCTTCTCTCTCTCAGTGTCTGTACCATGTCTAGCACTGGTAACAAAGGTATTTGTGTATCCCCACATCCGCCCAGGAATTCCACAAATGTGACCAACTATCTTGCGAGTACGTATCATCTCATGTGTGTCGTGCACACTATCAAATGTAACAGAGTTGTGTATTCCCATCATCCCAGGAACTTGACCCAAAAATGTGACCAACTCCGCTCTCTCTGTCTCTCTCTCTGTCTGCTCTCTGTCTCTCTCTCTGTCTCTCTGTATTATGTATTGTATGGCACAATTGCACCATGCTGGGCACATGCGCGCCCCGAATAAGTGACCAAGTTCTGTGGGTGTGTACCCCACGCCAGTGTAGTAGCCACGGTCGTCCGCACGCCACGAAGTGAAGTGTCCCAACGTCATAGGGCGGGAAGCTGGGTTTGGGTGGTCGCGAAGAGTCGTTTGGATATTTGGTAGAGCTTGTAATGCCCCCCCACGAAGTGGGGGTATTGTCTGGTGTCGTATGAAAACCCTGGCACTGGGGAGAACACCACGCGTTCGGGTAAAATGATTGTTGTTGTTGTTGTTGTTCGTTACCCATTTGTTTCGTTTCTTGTTTCGCATTCTCGCCATACCCTGCGTATTCTCCCCATCCTCCTCAGCTGTTTTTTGTTGAGGCTCCTCCTTGGATAACCTCTGGGGGCCTCACAAAAGTTGTTCGGGCTTTCTTAAGGCCTCCTGGAGGCCTCCTGGGCGTCTTCTGGGGGCCTCTGGGGGCTTCCTTGGGCCACCCTGCCTCCAACCGCGGTCTCCCTGAACGACCAGGTCAGGATTCGGAAGGTGTTTGGGGGCCATATTGGGCCGTCATGGGTCTCTTAGGCCATCCCGGAACCCTGTTGTGCCG